GCCTGACGCCTGGATGCAAGAATCCCAGGAGAGCAAGGGAGGCAGGAGACCTGCTCAGAGGAAGGAAAGGAGCCATAGGGACCTTTCTCCTTGCCAAGTGCCTTGGGCCTCAGTCTGGGTCTAGGGTGCCTTGAAGGCTACCACAGTGATCCTCCAGGCGTGTCCTCTGGGGAAGACGGACACAGGATGGGAGAGGACCCAGGGTCCACCCCTGTACCCCTGACTAGGTGGAGAGAAAGGTTTCCCACAACTCAGATCCCCACAGAACTCCCTTCCCAGTCCAAGAACAAACTCCTCTTGGACTCCCTGGTCCACCCCCACTCATGATCCATGATCTGCGGGGTCCTGTGAGTTTCCACCCCAAAGGACACAGAAACCAGGTTTGGTCAGAGAAAGCACGCTAACACTGGTAGGAATGTTTTCCTCCTGCTCTTCTAAGGACTTGCTGATCAGCGTCCTTTCTCTTAATGGAACCAATGTGCAGGGAGGAGGGGTGTGGTGCGGTGTTTGGATAAAAGGCATGTAAATCCAGACCCTGCTCCCTCCATTTTCCTGCAGGGTGACCTTGGACCAGTCAAGGGCGCCCCTCTCTCCCGGGCCACTGTTGGTCTCGGGCTCACATTCCCATCTCCCAGAGATGCATAACTGTAGAAAGTGTGTGAAGAAAGGGATGAAGATGTCCCAGGGGAAGGGACGTGGCAAGAAACTTCACATTAACCGAGCTCTTGGGGGGTATTTCATGACATTGGAAGCAGGAAAGAACCAAGGTGAGGGGCTGAGCCAAAGTCAGGAGTGTAACAACACAAAAGCTTGGAGAAGATGTTTGCTCCCTGTCCCCAGTGAAGCCGTGAGGAGGGGATCACTGGTCAGACTACTCTTGATACATTTTTTTACAAGGAAATAAAGCTCTCTAATGCTCAATGTTTTAAATGACAGTGTACTAAATAAATACTCATTTTACTGTTTTTTTTTCATTTTTTTACATTTACATTTTTTACATTTATAACCACAGTAGTAGAGTTCTTAAAAATGTTTGAAGGCCAAGGGATAATCATAATTTTCCCCATTGATTATTAGGATCGCTTTGTACTTTCAGTGCACACTCATTTTTACCATCTTGTGCTGCCTGCGACTGGGGTGCACCTGCATTTAATTTACTGTTCAGCTGATGAGTGTTTTGTCTGCTCGATGGAAAGTAAGGTCTGCACATAGGAGATAACGTAGAGCTGGACCGGGTCGTGTTTGTTGGCTGTTTCCCTGTCACCCAGAATAGCAGTTGGCGTGACCTTGACATCCAGGAAAAACTTTTTTCATTGAGGAACAATTGACCAATACAATTGTATGTACTTAAAATGCACAATGTGATGATTGATACAGGAAATATGTGCAGTGATGACCAAGATCTAGTCATGAACACATCCGTTCCCTCACCCAGTTAACTCTGAATGTGTAAGAAATGCTGAAGACCTACTCCCAGCGGGGTGCCTGGGGGGTTCAGTCGGTTAAGCGTCTGCCTTCAGCTCAGATCATGACTCAGGGTCCTGGGATTGAGGCTCACATCGGGCTCCCTGCTCAGCGGGGAGCCTGCTTCTCCCTCTCTCTCTGCCTGCCACCCTCCCCCCAGCTTGTGCCCTCTCTCTCTCCGTCAAATAAATAAATAAAATCTAAAAAAGAAAAGAAAAGACCTACTCCCAGGAACTTTCAAATATACAACCCCGTCTTCCTAACTGATCACCATGCTGCACATTAGCTCCTCAAAGAGATGTGAGCACCCCATGCTCACGGCAGCTTTAATCACAAGAGCCAAGATTTGGAAGCAACCTAATGTCCTCTGATGGGTGAATAGATAAAGGAAAAAAAAGGGGAGGGGGACCTATGTCCACAATGGAATATCATGCAGCCATCACAAAGAAGGAAGTCCTGCCATTTGGAACGGTATGGATGAACCTGGGGGGCATTATACTCCGTGAACTATAGCCAGACAGAAAAAGATACTATATGGTATCACATATATGCGCAATCTAAAAAAAAAAAGGAGCCAATTTTGCAGAAACAGAGAATAGAATGGTGGTTGCCGAGAGTTGGGGGGAAGGGGAAATGGATGATGTCGCTCAAAGGGTACACATTTTCAGTTAGAAGAAGAACGAGTAAATATTTTTAATGAATCAAGGAGAGTGGAGTGAGGGGGTGGTATAGGGTATTGGGTACTGGAGGGGGGCATCCAAACTGTCAAGACTTTGCAGCGCGTGTGTCCACAGAACCCCCTTACCCCAGGATCCTGCAGTTCTCAGCCCGAGATACTAGAGGATCTTCCCCACTCGGGGGGGTCTAGTGCCTCCCAACCACTGAGGCTCCCTGGGCTCCACCTTTGTTCTCTCTCACCAGTGGCCAGCTGGGCCTTGGTTTTACTAGCCTTTACCATGGCGGCTTGCAGAAAATGTGAGGTCACTTGGCTGACACAGACATGGTGCCAGACCCCATGTTGTCTCATTTTCTCCTGGAAAGCCAAATTGTCCAAGTCCCAGGAGACCCATAATGAGCAGGGAGACCCAACAGCCCATTTTGGGCCGGATGTCAAGGCCAGGCTCCCCCACAATCAGCCCAGAATGAATGCTTGCCCTTCTCTCTCTCCGACTCTCCCCTGGCCTGATTCTGTGCCGTTGGAGCAGGGGCTGCCTTAGGAACCTCACTAGTGGGTACAAACAAAGCCAGGCCTTTGGGAACTCTCAGACTCCAAATCCAGGCCTGTAGTCCTCTAGTGGTCTCAGCCTTGAAGGGACACAGTTCTTTGAGACCAGAGGACATGTTCTCCTGCTCAGCAGACCCTGTCCTCCTCTCTCTCACTCTGGGCTCTGCACTGGCTCCTCCAACCTTTTCCTTCTCTTGTTTCTCTTCCTTCCCTCAGTTCCTCTGGCCCGGCCCCACCTGGAGGGAGCCCGCGGACATCCTCCCCACCCCGTGTTTCTACAAGCTCACCCTTCGGGCTTGACCGTCTGCACGCAGGGTGATTTGCCATCAAATCTTAATTGTGAGGAAGAAAGAGAACAGCCCCTGGTTTAGGGTAACTTTTTAAAAATTTTTTATTTATTTATTTGACAGACAGAGATCACAATAGGCAGAGAGGCAGGCAGAGAGAAGGGGAGAAGCAGGCTCCCTACTAAGCAGAGAGCCTGATGCGGGGCTCAATCCCAGGACCCCGAGATCGTGACCTGAGCCGAAGGCAGAGGCTTTAACCCACTGAGCCACCCAGGCACCCCTGGTTTAGGGTAACTTATTAGTGGATCTAAAGTGGAACTGAGAGGGCACGTAGGGTCAAAGAGATTTGGGCTTCCAAAAAGGCACAGGAGGCAATACACTTTAGGGTAAGAACAGATCTGCTTTGGGAGAGAAAGAACATTTACTGGATGGCAGGAGAGCTTAGTCAGCTGGAGGGCTGGGCCACTAGAACCACAGAGGGACTAGGTCCCAGAGCCTTCCGTCAGCCTCGCACCTCTAGGAAGACCAGAACAGTCAGGGTCCTCCTCTGTAACCCCAAAGGAGCCACTTCCCGGTGTTTTCTGGGCGCTCCTTCCGTCTGCGCTGCTTCCGATCTGTGCCCTGCGGCTGGTCACATGTCCCAAGATAGCCCAGTAGGATTGAGAATTTCCTGATTTCTGCTGATGCCATTGGAAGGGTCCCCATTCTCCACATTTTTAAAAAAATATCTTATTTATTTATTTGAGAGAGAGAGAGAGAGAGAGAGAGAGAGAGAATGGACAGTGGGGATGGGGAGAGGGAGAGAGAGAAGCAAACTCCCCGAGGAGCCGAAGTCCAGCTTGGAGCTCGATTCCTGGACCTGGAGATCATGACCTGAGCTGAAGGCGGCCGCTTCACTGACTGAACCACCCAGGCGTCCTTGTCCCATCTTAAAAACATCCCATAGGATATATTTTTTAAGGATTTTATTTATTTATTTGACAGAGACAGACACAGCGAGGGAGGGAACACAAGCAGGGGGAGTGGGGGAGGAGGAAGCAGGCTTCCCACAGAGCAGGGTGCCTGACGTGGGGCTCGATCCCAGGACCCTGGATCACAACCCAAACCAAAGGCAGATACCCAACAACTGAGCCACCCAGGCACCCCCCCATATGATATTTTTGAAGAGCAAAGCCTTTGTTCTGACCTTGAACTCTTTCTTCCCTGGAACTCCTTCCCAAAATAGCAATGCTGATATAGTCCTTGGAAATGTACATTTCAGTGTTTTCCATCGCTGCTCCCAAATCCTATATAATACTGTTCTGTGGCTTTTACAATTTCTCATTCAAGGGAGGGGGTGCCTGGGTGGCTCAGCCGGTGAAGCGTGTGCCTTCAGCTCAGGTCATGATCTCAGGGTCCCGGGATCGAGATCTGAGTCGGGCTCTCTGCTCCGTGGGGAGTCTTCTTCTCTCTCACCCTCTCTGCCCGACCCCTAAAATAAGTAAATATTTTAAATAAGTAAAATAAAAATTTTCAAGTGAAAACGAATACCACACGCTTTAGCGGTATCTCCTTCACCTTCCCCAGGCGGGTTAACGGTGGGAACTAAGGCTGCATTAGGGCCACGTGACACTCCCATGCCTGCTGTTTTAGGGCTTTGAGTGATGGTCGAAAAATCCACCCCCCCAAAAAAAGGTGGGAGTCAGCTCTCGGGCGTCTCAGTACCCACTTCCTAGTGACACTGGAATCAGGCAAAGTGGTGGGTGGAACCGTGCGGGCTGGCGGCTGCATGTACCTCCCCTCAGTGCTTGCGGGACACTCCGTCCCCAGCCGGCAGGGGCCGAGCCATAGCTCTGTGCCCATGGAGCCCAGAGTGGACCCAGGGTAAGCTGGGGCTCTCCCACCAGTGCCAGAGAAGTGACTCTGACCCCGACCTGGTTCCTCTGAAGGATGAGGGAAGAAGACGGGCATGCTCAAGTGTGGCCTGAGAAGGATGCCTCATGCCCTTGCTACAGCCTCGGGATTCCTTCCGGATCGGATTCAGGATGAGCGCCCAGCCCCCGCCCAGACTCCTGGAACCGGCGGGAAAGCACCTGCTGAAGGAAAAGGCCTTGGCCATCGTCGCTCTGGAGTATCCTCCCTCAGCTCATGGTGGCTGCTGCTCATGGTCGCCTCGGCTGGGAGCTGCAACAGGACCCTGACAGGCCCTCGGCCCACCTCCCTCTGGGGGCCCTGACGCAGACGCCTCAGCAGGGCACCTTCCCAGCCACGCTCAGTGGGCTTGATGTCTTCCTTGCCCAGAAGGTTCCCCCCCAGGTGAGGCTCAGCCACATAGTCCGGTAGGGTCCTGGGTATCCTGGGAAAGGCAGCTGAGGGTACAGAAAGTAGATGGTCAAGGGGTGGGTGAGAGGCTTCTGATGATCCAGTGAAGGCACTCAGAGGCCTTGGCCATCACTGAGCTCGCGGTGGGAGATGGTTTCTGGGGGTGCGTGGCTGCTTCCCATGCAGGAGCCCCTGAGAGAACATGCCCCCCCACCTCCTCCCCAGGATACCTCCAGGTTCCAGAAGTAGAGCCAAGGGACGACGGAAGGGAAAAGGAGGTAGAGAAAAGTGAGGCAGGGAGGGAAGAGGGCGGGGGAGCAGCTGATGTCTTCTCACAGGTGGGGAGTCCAACGATCGCCTACTTTGAGACTCTGGTACGGATCTTAAAGCATCTCTGCCAAGCTCCCGTTTTCTCCATGGGAGATGGAAACTGCAGGGGCTGGATTTACAGAATACTGGCCAGGACTTCTGGAGTGCATGGTCTGGGGCCAGGGTCCATGGGTGCCCACCGATGGGACCAGTGACCGAGGATGGGTTAGGACGAGGCAGCCCTTGGCTCTGTCGGTGGTGTTCAGAGACCTCTGCCTCAGGGACAGGAGCCAGGATGAATGTCTCACCTACCTCTGTAGGTGAGGTGGCACAGAGAAGTTCCCTCCACCTGTGCTGGAAGAAGGTAAAGACTTTTACAGTGCCCATCCAAAAGATCGAGAAGGTCCTGACTATGGGGCAGGTGGACAGCATCCTTCTGAAGGTGGACGAGAACTGCACTTGGAAGCTGTCCGTCCTGGGGATGTTTGCACCTTACCTGGGCCAGACAAGTAACGTGCAAAGACTCTGGCCCTCCCATGTCCATGTGACCGCCTCCAAGGAGGAGAAGCAGCCTGTCACCCGATTCATTTCTCCATTCCCCTGGCCGCGCTGTTTACAGAAGCTCTCTATGGAATGTCCCTCCTTCCTCGAGGGCCGCCTGGACCAGATGCTCAGGTGAGAGGCGCCCCCCCCAAGGTGGTGTCACAGTGAACGGGAGACTGGGATGTCAGGCACACTGTCTCGTGTGCTGCTCTCTCCTGAGTGTGCTGTCACACAACCACCCACGTCAAGGTTCGGGGCTATGGAAAGAGACACCTGGCCAGGAGGCGACACACTGGGGGGTCAGATAGACGAGCCTGGGTTTGTGAATTCTTCCTTAGGAAGAGATGTCCAAGTTAAGATAACTTAGGGAAATAAGAAAGGGGAGAGGGAATCCACAGCAGATCTGAACTTCTCCAAAGAGAAGCTCTGCCCTCAGCAGCTCCATGAACATGCACGAGTCTGTCTCGATCCCCCATCTGTAAAAAGTTTTGTGCTCCAGGTCCGGGAATGCATATGGGGAATGCATGATTCTGGAGGTAAGGGAGTGGGAGCAGAAAGAATCATGAACAATGGTAGAAAGTGTGCTGATGTTACGGGGCTCTAAGTGAGCCCCTGCACACTGGCACTCCCAGTTGATGCTGGGGGATCTTGCCCAGGTTTGTTATTTGTCTCCCACTAGCCTCACCTGACCCAGAGATGCAGGTGCCTAAGGCCTGAGCAATGGCCCAAAGGAAGCCTGGACTGACAGCATTTCTGGTCTTATGTCCCAATATTAAGATTCAGTGATGCCTACCCTTGATCGAGATCCTGTGTCAGACTGATCCTATTCTAGCGCATTCTGTTACCTTCATTCATTTCCGAAAGTTGGAGTATGTTGTACTCTGCCTGACAGGTGAGGAAAAGGAGCTTTAAAGATTTTGTGAACCTGACCCAGTCCCACAAGGGCAGGTGGAAGGCCCCAGTCTAAAATGAGTCTGGGATCCTGGGTACAGACCTTCATCAGATGGTCACTGCTATATTGGCCTTGGGCAAGTCAGTTGTCTCCCCTTTAAGGCAACCTGCACCCCCACTCCCCAGGCCTAACTGCTTGGTTTCCCCCAAGTGCCTGAAGACCCCTTTGGATCTTCATAATGAAGATCTCTCCATAACGAACTGTCAGCTCACAGAATCGGACTTGGCCCGCCTCTCCCAGTGCCCGAACATCAGCCAGCGGAAGGACCTGGATCTGAGTGGCATCGGCCTGATCTGTTTCAGCCTTGAGCCCCTCTAGGTTCTGCTAGAGAAGGTGGCAGCCCCCCTCCAGGACCTGGACTTAGATCTGTGTGGACTCACGGAAGCCCACCTTGAGGCCATCCTGCCCACTCTGAGCCGCTGTCATCAGCTCTGGACCTTCAGTGTCTGTGGGAACCTCCTCTCCATGGCCATGGTGGGGAGGCTGTGGGGCCACACCGCCCGGCTGTGCCATCTGCACCTGGAGCTGTTTCTCCTGTTTCTCCTGTCCCTCTGGAGAGACCTCAGGGAGCTCTCCATTTGGGGAGATCTGCCCAGGTTCGGGCTGAGCTGACAGAGATCCTGAGGGACATAGGATTGCCCAGGACCATCTGGCTTAGCACCAGACCCTGTCCTCACTATGGTGGCAAGATGCTCTATGATTCAGAGCCCACTATATGCCCCTGTTATATGCCTGCCTAGTTGGGTGCATCTCTCAACAACTGTCTTCTGGGCATCTGGAGACTGAAGTCTAGGACATGGGAACATCGCACAAAAGGGGAACACAGACCCACGGTTTCAGGTATCTATTCAGTGTGAACGGGAGAGGGAAGGTGACCCAGAGGGAGGGCAGGATCACAGACAGAAGCCTTGGCTCAGGGACTTGCTGGGGCCTTCAGGGACATGTGTCCTATAGTCAGAAATACAAATCTGAATTTCTGGAGGGGGATTTGAGCTTGAGACTCACATGTGTGAGTTATCCCTGTGTGGACTCTTGTAAAGAAAGGGTAGGAAATAAAGAAACCCAGTGTAAGCTCTCTGGTGCTCTTCCTGATCTGTTAACTGGTTTTTCCAAGTTACGCTTCAGGAAGCCTCAGTTACTGATGGAGAAGAGCCCTACTGAGCTGTCCATGATCAGAAACTGCTGTGGTGGGATTAGGCCCCAGGAACTCACTGTATATTTGTGATTTCCTCCAGTTCTTTAATCTCTCCAGGGCATCTCTTAACTCCTTGTTTCGGGGGCTATTTGGTGGTTTAATACAAAAATTGGGACACACTAAGTGGCCGATGAGCCAATGGAGTGTAGGGCTCTTGGGACGCTCACTGGTGACCCAATGCCATGACCCTGGACATGAACCCTCCCCACAAGACCCCAAGACCCCAGTTCCCGGCCTTTGTATTGAGAAGGCACAAGGCAGGCCAAATCTGGAAGGAGTTGTTCACCCTACAGATTAGTTGGAGCCTCTGGACCTCACCAGACCATGTCTATCATGGGTGGGTAGTCGTCCTTGAATTCAACAGTAGAGACATTTAAGTTCCTTCCAGCAAAAGTATTAAAATCCTACAGGCATGGAAACTTAGTATTTTTACACCATGTTAAAAAAAGAATATCCCGGGGCTAGGTCATGTCAATAAGAGACTGACTTTATTCTCCTAAAATCTCTCTTTACACACACACACACACACACACACACACACAAACACACACACACCCGCCCCAGGAAAGAACAGAATGACATGGTTTGAAATTAGTATATTGGGATGCGTAACAAAATACCTATAGGCAAATGAGTGACTTCCTTGCCTGGGGTAAGACAATGTCTTGGCTTAGTTTTCTTGACTAACCAATAGAATATATACAGACCCAGTAGAAATGGCTCACATGATCATGGCAGAAGTCCCACTCTCTGTCTTCTGTGAGCTGGAGAACCAGCAAAGCCAGTGGGAGATCTCAGCCCAAGACTGAAGGCCTGAAACCCGGGAAAGCAGATGGTGTAACACCTCGTCTGAGGCCAAAGACCTGAGAACCGGAGAGTCTGGAGACTTTGGAGCCAGGGAGCCTGGGAGTTCATGGGGAAGAAGAGACAGAGTTTGCCCTTCCTTCCCCTTTGGGTTCCATTCTGATTCCCATCGGGTTGAATGATGCCAAGAATCTCTAACCTCAGTCTACTGATTCAAACGCTGATCTCTTCCAGAAACATCTTTACCGACATAACCCAGGATTAAGGTTTTACCAGCTACCTGGGCATCCCTTTGTCAAGGTGAACTCCAAAAATCACCACAGTGCCTCAAACAAGGGCACCCAAATGAAGGATTCAGGGGCTGGTGTTGCTGGTGGGAGGTCCTTAGGCGAGAGCCTCCGTTTCCCTGTAAAAGGAGTTTTCCCTGCATAATGGTGCATACCCAACCACCTTATCCAGTTCTCGTAGGAGCCAACGAGATGACGCACGAGGGGGGCTTCGCATACAGTAAGTAAGCTCAATAAATGGGGCTTTCCCTTCACTCTTCTATCTTCCTTTCTGTTTCTGACAGCAGGAGAGCAGGACATAGGGCATGCCATAGGATTCAGCTTTCAGATGTGGCCACCAACGAATCATGGTTCACACAGGCAGCTGCAGCCGCGGGCTCCCGGAGAGGGAGGGCATCTGAAATAGGGCATCTGGATTTACCTCTAGTGATGCTCAGATAGACGTTTCCCAGCCTCGGGACTTGTACGCCACCTGCTGATAGATCCGGGTGATACAAGCTGGAGAGTGTCGACTATTTTAAGAAACCTGTCATGAACTATTTGAGTATAAATATTTGTGTTGTGATATATATAAATACTGAAGACATAAATTGCTTTTAAAGATCATAAAAGGTGATTCTATGTTTTTAAAGAACGCATCCAGGTAATTAAAAAAATATTTAATTTCGTTTGATGCCTGTAAACAAATGAGACTTTAGAACAGTTTAGAAATCAAAGAACAAGGAATTGTTTTCTCTGTTAAAAAAATGTTTAGAATTATAAAATTTTAGAGCTGGAAGGTTACAGTTAAATTTTTAGAAAGAGACTTCATCTTTCAGAGCAGTTTTATGTTCACAGTAAAATGGGTAGAGAGTAGTTTCCATCTAACTCATACCCCATCCCCACTCTGCCCCCCACAATGCGCAGTCCCCCCTCCCCGCAGAGTGGCACACATATCTTGGTTGCTTCCAGATTTTGGCAATTATGACTAAAGCTGGCCTAAGCATCTGAGTGTCAGTTTGGGTGTGGACATAAGTTCTTACCTCATTTGGACAGATAGGTGGCAAGGAGGAACATTATATGATAAGGATATGAATTAAATTCTTTTTTTTTTCCCCCTTGACCTGTTAGAGATTGCCCCATAAAGGGCAGAGACTGTGTCTCTGTCACCCTGTGGTCCCACAGCAGAGCACAGAGCCTGGCAGGTGGTTGTAAATGCTTGTAACTGCATATGGCGCATGGAAATCTTTATCATCAGTTTATAGCTAAATGTTATTTTCCACTAACATGCCAATTTGGGGAAATCCGACATTAGCAGGATACCAATAATATAACCGAGTTGGATATGGAAGGAAGAGCAGGTGGGATTCTGTAGTTGCTACGTTCTTATGGGTAAATGGTACATGAGGGGGAGCTTCCATTGTTTTCCATACTTTCTATGGTTTTGCCCAAGTAAGACAGACAACATTCTCAATGAAAAACACTCAGTGATTACAGAGAGAACAGACATCTCCCTGTAATTTCCCTTCATCCCAGCCCCCTTTCCAGAGGGTTCAGTTTCATGCACCTTCTTCCAGACTCTTCTGTCTTTCTTTTTTTTTTTTTAAGATTTTATTTATTTATTTGACAGATAGAGATCACAAGTAGACAGAGAGGCAGGCAGAGAGAGAGGAGGAAGCAGGTTCCCCACTGAGCAGAGAGCCCGACGTGGGGCTAGATCCCAGGACCCTGGGATCATGACCTGAGCCGAAGGCAGAGGCTTTAACCCACTAAGCCACCCAGGCGCCCCTGTCTTTCTATATACTTATATGGGCATATAGAAATGTCTGGTCTCATTTTCCCTTATAGAAATAGTGTCTTGGCATGATTTTGATCATCTTTCTTTTTTTCATTGAAGTATAGGTCTTAAAGATTTGCTCTTCTTGTTATCTGGCATACAGGATTCCGTAAAATGAATGGTCCACAATTTAACCCTTTGCCTAATTATATAAATTTAGGCTGTCCTCCCCTCTGCCTCCCACTTTTTTTTTTTTTTTTTTTTGGCAAATACCGACCACAGAACAATAAAAATCCTTGCACACAACACAAAGCTTCTCTTCAGGTTCTCAATGTTTTCTCCCTACATTTAGCCCCATCTTTCCTGAACCTCCCATTTCAACATCCCAGCTGGATTTTTCTCATCAACTGATGAACAAGCTGCCCATTGCTTTTCATTTAAAAAAAAGAAGAAGAAGAAGAAAAAAAAGCCTCCCTTGCCTTCCCATCGTCCACCAGCTCTTGTTTCATTTCTTTTCCTTTGTAACAAAACTTCTCTAAAAAGTCCTCGGCATTCCCTGTCTCTGCCTTCACATTTCATAGACACATGCTGTCGTTTTTATCATGAAACATTCCAAATACATGGGAAAGTATAGAGTAATATACAAAACACATAGGTACCTACACCCAGCTTTATGGTTACAATATTCACAGTTTGCTGTTGTTTGCTTTAGATTTTTTAAGCCTATTACAGCTATTTTAAGCCTATTATAGTCACAGGTGACTCTCCCTGGGGAGCTCCCCCACCATCATCCCTAAATCCCTCTCTCTCCTTCCCTCCCAGAGCTGATCACTAGCTTAACTTTGTTAACATTATGGTCAGCGTGCATGTTTTAATAACATTTTTATACATATGTATCCATGAATAGTCGATATTGTTACAGATATCTGTAAAATATACATAAATGTCATACTTGATCTTTCTTCAACCTGTTTTTGGGGGGTTAAGATTTTGTTTTTGAGATTTGTCAATATGTATTCATGTAGATTTTAAAATAATTCTATGGTGCTATGATGTAAGCATAGGATACTATACACATTTGAAGTCTACAGTTGGCTAAGTTTTGACAATCATGTACATCTGTGGGACCAGCACCACAGTAAGAGTGTATATCCCTCACCCCCAAAAGTTCCCACCGCTCTATGCTCTCAGTTACCCCCACCCTCGCCGTGGTAACAACTGACCTGTGAGATTTTTCATCTAGATATTGTGGGAGTTTTTTGGGTCACTATAGGGATGCATTTCCCAGAATGTCCTATAAATCGAATCATAAGGCTACTTGTCTTCTGTGTCTACCTTCTTTAAACATCATCCTTTGAGGACCGTTATCCACTGTGTATTGGTGATTCTTTCCTCTTTATTACTGGATAAAGTCCATTTTATGGACAAACCACATGTTTATCTACTCACCTCTTGGTGGACACTTGTGCTGTTTCCAGTTTGTGGCTGTTACGGAAAAAGCTGTTGCATGAATTATATACAATTCTTTGCGTGAACATATTTGTCTTGGATAAATATCTAGGGAGTGCAG